TAAGCCAGATCATGGATTAGGCTAGCTATGAACTGAAATTGTAAGTCATTTTTGGTTTTTCTAAGTTCATAGATTTTACTATGCATCTAGACTAGACATAATGTACATCTAGATGCATAGCAAAAACTATGTACATAGAAAAGCCAAAACAACTCACAATTTGAAATGGAGGGAGAGTAACAACTATATTGGTTGGTCAATGTGCATGTTGTATATGTGAAGATATAAAAAAGCTTGCAAGTGTTAGCCTATATACGAAATTAAGATTCAAATGAGCATATGAAACCCTAGGTTGCTTTTTTTTTAAAGACAAACATAGGTAAAAAGCCTATTTTCCATGCGTCAGTACAAGTGTTAATGGGTTTGATTTTGCAATGATCATATGGGCACAACAATAGGCGTCAACTCTTTTTTTCTCTTGATCTCTGACCTGCCCCAAAATAGATAAGACTTTGATTATGAATCTGGACATGTTTTGTTGAGATTCATAGTCGAAAAGTCGTCTATTTTTGGACGAAGAGAATACTGCTCTAATATGCAATGCCATAAATATTTATCTTCCCATAAATTGAACGCAGTAATAATTCTTCTTTTGTACCCCAAGTCAAGCAGGTGTAGATTCAGTCGTAGAATTGGACTTGTTGTCACTCTGTCAGTGTAGCAACTCCTGGGGAAGGAAGTTATCCCACTCGGCAAAATATATGGTGGAAACCACATATTAGTTGGAAACTAGAAAACCATGGCGCGGCGTTAGCGTCTGTTGTTTGTCCGTGTGGACGCTGTTGGTTGTAGATACATGTGCAAGATTTTTCTTCTTAGACGCTAATGCAAATGCACATATAATGTCCAAATTTTATATCATCTTTATATTATCAACAGATGAATTCACAAAGAGATTACAGTGTATCTTTGCAAGGGTGGAATTTAAGGCTTTAACCAAACATCACATGATTGGAGAAGTCACAGTGTCCCTCGGATAGATAGATTGGTACCATCTAAATTATTCAGCATGGATTATGCACCACTTCTTCTTCTTCCTCCTCCTCTTCTTTTGCAGCCTGCAACATTACTTATTGCATAAGCATCAAGATGTTGTAGATGTTGTTTCTGATCAAGATAGGGAGGCTTCACTGTTTTGACATCGGCAAACACAAAAGTCACTTGACAATTTATCAAATAGAGGAGCATAGTTCATAATTGCAAGTCCGGTATATTGTTCAGTTTATGACAATTCCACCTAGACAGTGCAAGATTAGAAAGGTCACATACTATAGGAAGCGTGTGCTTGTTGTGGTTGGCATTCACCACTTTGTTAGCATCCTCTCTCTCTCGGGGCATATGAGGAAGCAGCACCCTGCATTTTCTTCAGAGCATGAAAAATTGAGGTTGACTACGAACAAATTAAAATGGATAAAAGAAGAGAAAAAGGAATGACAAATAATTCCCTCATTCATCAATTGCACAGATGTAGATGTCGGATGTGAAAATGCCAAGTACAACGGGTAGAGATGGACTGTACACATTCTGGAAGAAAAAAATAAAAGGAAAAATAAAATGTATATTTTGCATTCATTTAATTTGTCCCAACACATTGGGCCTGTTCGCTTGGAGGAATTCTGGAAGAATTTGGATGGTTTGGAAGAATGCTGAAGGAATTTATAAGAAAAAAACATGATTTCAAATAAAAAAAGAAGTGAATCAAGCCGGGCCTAAAGACACGCGAACGGGGTCATCGAGAGCATCATCCATGGAAGCATCGACCCGTTATTGAGGTCGATGGCAGCCAGCAACAGGGACCGCCTAAGCAGCCAGGCTACGCGAGGGCCTCGCTTGTCAGCTCTGAACATGGCTGCCCGATCGTGACTAGGTGGAATCCACTTAGTCGATCTCCTCTGGTCTGCCGGCGGCGCGTGGAGTCGTGCGCAGGTCGAACCATGGAGTCGCAATCTCGGACGGACAGGGCGAACAGTTGAACCGTGGCCGATGACAGAGTTCATCTGCGGTGGCCTGGACAGTGGGCACCTGCGAGATTGAGAGAGAGCCTCCGGCGTCCATGGCTGATAGCGTGTGTCCATCTGTGGTGACCTGAGCACCTGAGAGAGAGAGTGAGGCTCCGCGCGTCCATGGCCGATGGCGGGGTCCATCTGCGGGCCTAGGTACCTTCGAGAGAGAGAGCGAGGCTCCGGCGTCCATATGGCCGACGGTGGGGTTCATCTGCGGTGGCCTAGGACCTGCGAAAGAGAGGATCAATAGCGGCTAGCGGGCAGGTATACCATGGGCCTGTTTCATACTGCAGGGAAGTAGGCTGGACTGGGCTGCGGCGAGGCAGACGCTACCACACGGCCGGGCGTGCGCGCGCTAGAAGGCCCAAGAAACTGGTTGCCGTGCTCAGCTTTTGCGTTGCACGATCAAAATCGGACGCGTGGCAAAATGAGATGCCAGGGACCATGGTGCAAGATTCGTCTTGAAGAAGATATGGAAACTAATTAAAAAATGTATTTAGGTTATTTAATCTTTTTTGAAACTTAATAGATCCATGGTGCATACAGATTTGTACAATTGTACATCTTTTTTTTTACGAAAGAAGAATTATATTAGATAATAGCTGGATACATCAACACGTTACATCACTCTGGATTACACAAGTATCTAGAAACTGATTTTTATCTAAATTATACCCATGCTATGAATAGTTTTAGATCTCAAAACCAAACATGTACGACGTTTTGCAGTATGGATGACCGCACAAGCAAACACGCTGCAAAAGCCCTGAGAACAGATGTCCAATGAACGACGGCCAATATTTATGTAGGCGGAGTTGAGAAACATCTTCTTCTCTCTGCCACCGAAGGATGAGAAAGACCGATCTGAAACTTATTCTCTCTAGTCCTTCATCATGGCCAGATCTAACCACGATAAAACGGAGAAAAGACCAGATAAAATTATTCCATGGCGCGACACCATCTCTGCCTTGATGTCGTTCTCCAGAAATAAAAGTCTCCATGTCATACCGGTGAGGACGCTGATGTCGTAGTTGTCGCCCTCATCTTCAACAGAGCCGCTATGGAGAAAACGATTACACCCTGCGCTCTCGTCGTCGTCCGAGAGAAGGAGGAGGAGATAAATCTTCAAAATCAAAAACTTATTTAAAAACAATAGATCTCCGCTCTCTCCGGCCTCCGGCGATACGCCGGAGGGGGAGGGAGGGACCAGCGGCGGTGGAGGCCGGATGCGGCAGCGGCAGTCCTCGCGAGACGCGAGACCTAAGGCTGCGTTATGTACAGTTGTACATCGAGATGCAAACTGAAGCGCCCTAAAAAACAGACTCTTCATCACTATATGCGGCAAGTGCGTCTGCTGCGGCCCATTGAAGGGCCCTCGGAAATAAGCCCATTTCTCAGCCCACTCTTCACTCCCGTTGTTGCCTGTAGGCGTAGCCCTGCCCGTTTGTTCCCCTCCCCTCTCCGCCGTCCCAACTCCCAAGTCTGGACTCTGGACTCTGGACGGGGGCTCTGATCAACGCCAGAGAAGGGCGACGCGCGGTCGAGCAGTCGATCGAGGAGGGGTCGCCGGCGACGCCGCACTCCCAGCAGAGCCTAAGCCTTCGAGGCTACAAGGTGTTTCAGGTAGGGCTACATCCCTTTCGATTCTCGACATTTTGGCTCCCTCCTCTTCAGGAGTAATGCCGCCGTGCTGCTAGGCTGCTAGTACTAGGGTTTATGCTGTACTGAACTAACGTTGGTTTTGCTTGGGTACTTCTGTGTCGAATTTCTACCGTAAGCATCGCTTATGCCCCTATTGTCGCGCACTTGTATTTTCAAAAGATGTGCATTATGAAGGAATCGGTAAATGGCGCAAAGGAACCCCAAATCGTCCTGTTACAAGTACTGTTTTAATAAGCAGGATAAAATGCGAGTACTTGTTGGTAGTGCAATTTGTTATGCCACGGAACCATATGCTTGCATCGCCACTATTTTTGAACTAACCGTTGATAAAGCATCGAATCGAACTGGACCCGTTCCTGTTTTTCTAGATACTCTGATATGTTTGGTTTTTTTGAACAAAAAGGGCAGGATCTCTGTCATTCAGTTAAGGAGCAAAAGAAGTTTAGATACTCTGCTATGAATAAGGCAAACTTGTTTTCGTATCGAAAAAACAGGAATACTTCTAGCACTCACTTGATAGTGTAATACCATTAGGGGAATCATTCTCTGTTGTCTTTGTTGGCGACCATTGGAAAAATATGCCAAAAACTAAATTCCTGCATCAGACTTGCCGTAGCTTCACAAAAACATACTATTTTAGTTTGTCTGGAGCTAGGAGTTCAGGAGGGGTACAAACAAATCTTACCAGCTTTACTAGCAAAGGGATAAGACATTCGAGGAAAACATGTTGCACGCCTTGCTGTCGAATAAATCATTTATGTGTGCCTTCACCATTTTTAGTCCAGCCGATTGACCTGTAGGCTACAGGAGTTACTATACCAATGGAACCATTTATGTGCAAGGTGCATTTGTGTTGTTCTTGGGGTAAAGTACTTGTTCTCGGGATTTGTGGTGATCTGTCATTGTCTTAACAAAATAACCATCATGTTGTCTTGTTGGTAGTCTGACATGGCCACGTGGTACAGTAGCGCAACTGTTTAGATGTTAAGCTAGTAAGATTTAGGTCAATAGGAAGTTTTCATTAGTACTAGTAAGAATGAATATATTAGGCAGTTCCATTTTCTGTTATTTATTTAGCCATTATAAGTTCTATCGTTTCGAATTATCCTGTTCTAAATTCTGATTCCTGGCCCTTCCATCCACGCGAGCACATTAATAAGGAATAAATGTTAATCGAAACTACCCTTCTATCTACCAACTCATCACTTTCCTTTTGCGAATATACAAAATGAAAGAAGGGATGGAACTACCCGTTGTTGAGCTTGTGAGATTAAGCAAGCTAGTGTTTTGCAGGTGATGGAGCCAAAAGGGGAAACTAAGTTGGATGGAGTGACAATGGCAATGGGTGCCTTGGACTGCCCCATCTGCTATGAGCCCCTTGTGCCTCCCATTTACCAGGTAGGCAGGTAGACACAGTACATGTGTATATGAATAGCATCGAGTTAATTTCTGAAGAACACCAGATAGGCAAAATCATTATATCGTTTTCATCCAACAACTAAAACCTTAAATAAATCTTCCAAAAGCAGTTTGTTAATTTCTGATGAGGGGCACATCAGTATGTTTCATGAATCGATCTACCAAACACAGAGTAACTAAGGTAGTGTTCTAATGAGGGGCACTATCAGTACCTATGTTTTTTTATTAAATTCCATGTATGTCTGTCCAAGATATTCTCTCACAAGGACTTGTTTTTCCGATTCCGATTCGACAGTGTGGTGTGGGGCACCTGATCTGCAATTCGTGCTGCATCAGGCTCAACAAATGCCCCCTATGCCCAAGGTCTGCCTTCGAGCGCTGCTTTGGCATGGAGCGCGTTGTTGAATCCATTGAGGTTCCTTGTTGCTTCGCCGAGAACGGATGCACCAAGAAGATCGCCTACTTCAACAAGAAAAAGCACGAGAAGGCGTGCCGACACGGGCCATGCTTCTGCCCGGAGCCCGGCTGTGGCTTCTCAGGGCCGGCGGCGACGCTGCCAGACCATTTCACCGACTGCCACAAGTGGCCAAATACGGCGTTCAAGTACTACGCGCAGTTCGACCTCCGCCTCCAGCCGGGCCCGCACATCCTCCGTGCCCAGGATGGCACCGTCTTCCTCATGAACGTGGTGGCAGCGGAACCCCTCGGGCACGCCATCTCCCTCGTCTGTGTCCGGCCGGCCACGGGCTCCTCCCCGTTCGGGTGCTCTTTGTTGTTCTCGTGCTTCACAGGCCACCACCAGATCTCGACGCTGGACCCCGTGAGGTGCTCGACGCTGGCTGATGGTCTGCCAAAGGACGGCTTCTGCATCGTGCCCAAGGCATCTGGAGGCGTCCATGATGTCGTGCTCAAGACCACCATAGATGAAGCGCGGAGGTATGATATCGAGCTGGGGGACGAGGACTACGAAGACGAAGACGAGAGCTACGACGAGGAAGATGATGAAGAAGATGATGATTCTGACGACGACGACGAAGAAGAAGATGACTCTGATCAAGATTTGGTTCGATCGATCGAGTGACCAGCGCATATATTACGAGTGCTCTAAATTAAAGTATTTATTTAGGTTGGATCCTTCTTACGGGCACGTCGACATCTAATCAACCATGATAAAAATTTACTTTTATCAGTATAGGAAAACATGCTATCAGTATTGGAAAACATCCTTGCCGCCCGGGCAGGCAATTTGGCTCTCCTATTCAGGGTTTGATTTGTAGTCGTGGTGGGAAAGGTCAGTTTCTAGTGCATTAACCCTTCCAAATCGGCGCGGGCGCGGTGACGGGGCCGTTCGGCTGTTAGAAATTTCAGCCGGAATTCACCGTCCACGGCTGAAATTCACTATTTATGTTCTCGCAAATTCATCCCGATTTCTCCGAACGAACAGGGCCGACGGGTTCTGCAGGCGCAGGCTCGGGTCGGGGCTCGGGGGTGTGTGGTCGCGGCGGCGAGCCGGCGACGCACCCACTCGCGGTTGCGGGCGGCAAAGAGCGAGCGAGGCCGGTGCGCGAACAGGGCTCCTGTTCCTGTCATGTGACGCACAAAATGCAGTGAAGACACGACACCCTGTGTCCCTGTCCCTAACGGAAAAAAAAACAGTGTTTCTTTGGAAGCAGGGTCAACTTCGCCCCATCTGTTTGATAGAGCAGCTTTCGGCGGCTCACACTCTCGCTCGTCCGTGTATCACAGTTAAGAGGTGTTTTTCTTTCTCCTCTTAAAATAAGCTATAAAAGCCAATTAAACCATTTTAAAAAAATTCATCAACTCGGACTCTTCAACATATTGGCCCGTTCATTTGGCTGAAAAAACAAGCTAAAACACTGTTTCAGCTGATTTGTTGGGAGTGAAAACACTGTTTCGGCTAAAAAAACAAGTTAAAAAGTATGGATTATAAGATAAGTGAACAGGACCATAGTAGGGAGACGAAGCTATTGGAAGTCGTGTAAAACAAGATCTTGGTTTCCTCCCTGGAAAATGATTATTCTCATGTTCTCTCTTTTTTTTTTGTTAACTTTTATGCCACATTGGTTCTTTTTTACTCTCATGTCTCCAAAAGAGTACCACTTAGAGTTCGATATAGGTTAAACTTTTTTAAGTTTAACTAAATTTATAAAAATATTAACAATATTTGTATCTTCAAATAAATTTATTAGAAAAATATATTCAACTATTAATCTAATAATACTTATCATGCACCATAAATATTAATAATTTTTTGTATATATTTGGTTAAGATTAAAAATGTTAGACTTCTCGAAAAATACGGATGACACTCTTTGTAGTAACAGAGTGCAATGCATGAAGGTCCGACCTCCTCCTGCGTGTTAGTGTAGACGTGATACTGCAAAATATTGAGAAAGGGCCATTTTGATTAATATGAAGTAACATTTACGAAATTGAAATTTTTGAAGCAAAGAACAAACTTACTGCTACAAAACAAGCAAACAAGCGAAGCAAAGAACAAACTTATTTTACGCCTAAACGGGTAAAAAATAAAGCAAACAAAATTATTTGTGGGATGGAGAAAAAAATTATGGCTCTTCCTCCTACCTTAAAATAGAGTGTAGACTGTGAGGGCCCAAAAAAAATAACTTCACTAGTGAAGTGAAGCCCTGTCATACATGGCCTAAATATTCCTACCCATAGAGTGTAGACTGTGAGGGCCCAAAAGAATAAGCAAAGCAGATCAGCACTCACAAGGATAGATCGGATGAAGGATTTGAGACCGGAGAGCAGGATTGCAGGAAGCTCCAAGCCAGATAACCAGCGACAATTGCTCAGCCAGGCAACGGCTGGCCTAGCCTAACTAGGCAAGGATACCTGTTTGATGCGCACAGAGAAAACTAGCTATGCCAGGCGAACTTGCCACCGCGCGCGAGGCGTGTTCGATTCCAACGCTGCCTCACCTAGCTGCGGCGGCGCAGGAACTGAGAATCTCGCCCGCTCGGGCGAGCCGATCCGGCTCTCTCTCAGGAGCGAGCCAAACCTCGCCAGCGCAATCTCCGAGGAGCTCGAGCGAGACAACCAAATGCGTTTCCTTGTGTCCTATCCCAGGCTAAGGATCTAAACACGCCCAAAATCCTCGCCAGCCCGGGAGAGGGCGTCGAGCGAAAAAAAAAGGGCGCGAGCAAAGAAGAAAAGGCGGGACGCGTCTGCTCACTGCTCTCCACCTCCATTCCTCAACTCGCAGACCACAGGGGTCCCTCTGCTCCCCCCTGCGTTCTCCCCATGACCCCATCTGTTCTTCCCCTTCTAATCCCTTCTTTCTCTGTAAAATCACTGATCAGGTTGATTGGATTGGTCCACTCCGTCCTCCGCATCTAGGATTTGGGGCCCATCTCTGCACAATCTCGATTAGGGCCGGCTGCCCTAACTGAGAGGTAACTCGAGTTGCATTTCTCCTCCTTTTTTTTTTGGCGATTTGATGCACAGATTCATTTTTCCATCTAGTAGATTTGGGGGTGGGAACTTATCTTTTTCTGGAAAAGCCTGCAAGTAGTAGCAGTTCATTCTGTACTAGAGGCTTAATTTTTGGACGAAATAGGAGACACCAATGGTATTCCTCCTTTGAGACTATTAGCTTTTAGGACGAATTGATGCTCTTCATGCTTTTCTATTTCCCATGCAAGAGCAACTAAAAAGAGCTGACTTTGTATTGTTCATTTGGATGGACAGCATATTGAGCAGTCATTTGTTACCTACACAATAAATGTAGTCATGTTAGGTACTCTATTTTGGAGAAAAATAAGGACATAATGGCTTACCTAAAGAAATTATATTGCGACCAAGATTCAGACACTATTAATCTTCTTAGAATGAGCAAAGATGTCTTCTTCAAGCTATGCACAAAGTTACGTTCTATGCATGCACTTCGTGACACTTGGCACTGCTCAGTTGAGGAACAAGTAGCCATGTTTCTTCAAGCAGTTGGCCATAAGAAAAAGAATAGGGACATAAAGTTCAATTTTTCAAGATGTACTGAAACTGTCAGTAGATATTTCAATGAAGTTCTGTATGCTATTGGCCAACTTGGACCTGAGATGCTTAGACATAGATCAACAGATGTACCCTCCAAAATCCGAAACAACACAGGATTCTACTCATATTTGAGGTATGCTTCACCATTTCTAATAAAATACAAACACACACGATTGGTTAAGTAACAAATCCATTCATATAAGTGCTAACTTCTGATTTACACAAATTAGGATTGCATTGGTGCTATCGACGGAACCCATATTTTGGCCTTATATAAATATATGACAAGTTGCATACTTTGGCCTTATATAAATATATATGGCAAAGTATATATTTTTGTAGTATGAAACTACACTTGCGACACTGTGTAGGTATGGCAGATGTCATATTTTGGCCATATGAAACTGTATATGGCAGATAATGTATGTGGTCTTATCAAACTATAAATGGTAGGTTTGTCGGTAAAGATTGCAATGGAGTTGATACTTTCGTTTGCTGTGAAACGTTCTTGTACTGTTGACTCTTGAACAATTAACTTTGCAAATATTCAGTGCTACAGCTGAAGTCTTCTTGTATATTTGATGGATGATGGTAACCTCACCTAAAGGGTACAATGTTGAGTGGCATGTATCGTGGCAAGGGTTCCAAGCAAGCGGGACAGTAACCTTGCCAGCAAAGGCAAGTCTGTAGCCACATTACCGAACAGCTTGCCAAATATTCTTGCTCATCCTGACAAAACTACCAAACTACCTCCTTGCCACAGCTAACCTTGCCTAGCAAAACTCCTTTAAAATGATGGGTTGATGACTGTTGACTAAGCTAGTGAGATTTGTGCCGATTGGAAGTCTTGATTAGTAAGGAATAATGTATTCAAAATGTATATATTAGGCAATCCCATTTCTGTTATTCTATTTACAGATTACAAAGTTGTGTTGTTTGGAATTATAATATATCCTGTTCTGAATTCTGATTCCTGGTCCTTCCATCCAATGCAAGCGATCAGATCAATCAGGAATGGATATGCTAATCAGAATGGCCCATCTATGAATCTACCTAACAAATCATTGCTTTGTTTTTCGAATATACACCAAAGCATTACTTGCCTTTTTGCCGGTATAAATTGGGATTAAGAGATGGAACTATATATTGTGATCAGTACACTTAACCCTTTGCTGCGCTAGTGTTTTGCAGGTGATGGAGCTGAAAGGGGAAACAACTATGATGGATGGAGTACGAATGAAGATGGGCGCCTTGGACTGCCCCATCTGCCATAAGCCCCTCGGGCCTCGGATCTACCAGGTACACACATCATCATCATCAAAATTAAGTGTTGTTTCTGTCAGACACAAAATCTAAGGCTCAATGTTTATTCCAATACGTACCGCAGTGTGCCATGGGGCACTTGCTCTGCAAATCATGCTGCTGTATCAAGCGCAAGAAGTGCCCTTCCCCACTATGCCCCAGAACCGTCTTCACGCGCTGCTTTGGCATGGAGCGCATCGTCGAAGCCATTGAGGTTCCCTGTTGCTTCGCCAAGAACGGATGCACCGAGAAGATGCCCTACTTCAACAGGGGAAAGCACGAGAAGGCGTGCCAGCACGGGCCATGCTTCTGCCCGGAGCCCGGCCGGCTGCGGCTTCACGGGGCCAGCGGCGGCGCTGCGGGACCATTTCACCGGCCACCACAAGTGGCTGTCCACGGCGTTCGAGTACTACGCACAGTTCGACCTCCGCCTCCAGCCGGGCCCGCACGTGCTCCATGCCAAGGACGGCAGCAGCATCTTCCTCGTGAACCTGGTGCCAGCGGCGGAACCCCTCGGGCACGCCATCTCCCTCGTCTCCGTCCAGCCGGAGGTCTCCACAGACGCCAACAAGTCCATGTTCGGTTTGTCTTTGATGTTCTCGTGCTTCACGGGCCACCACCAGGTCTTGAGGATGGAAGACGTGATGAGCTCGTCGCTGGCCGATGGTCTGCCAAAGGACGTCGTCTGCTTCGTGCCCAGGGCATCTCGAGACGACCATGCCGTCGTCAGTATCACGGGGGTGGGCCCAGCCGGTAGTCCAGTAGGCCGGGACTACCCTGGAATTTGACCCAAAATGTTTTTAGTACTCTGCGCAGCCCATGAGAATTTGGCCCATTCGTCATCTCTCCCAATCTGCGCACTCTTGACCGTGAGCCCGCAGCTGTCTCGGCGTCTCCCTTCCCTCCCGACATGTGCGTGATGAGACGGCCGTCTTCCTTACGGTTCCCAACCCCGGCCGCCCCTAGGCCCCCACCGGCCCACCCCAGCCGCTCGCCGTCCTCCCCTGCGGCCGCCCGGCTCTAGCCGCTAGCCCCCACCCACCCCGACGGTCCGGGCGACGGGGCCAGCCGCCACTCTGCCATATCTCGACGCGCGGCACGCCAACGCTGGCCAGCAGCTGGCCGAGCTGGCCTGCGCAGCGGCCGTCCGCCCATCCTCTAGTGGCCTCTGTTTGGCTTGGACGCCGACGCACGGTGAGTTTCTCCACTACAGCACTGCTTTCTCCCCCATTGTTTTATGCAGTTAAGCCTTAGGGTTTGGATATTGGAGATTTGAGATTGGACTGTAAAGGCTTATGAATTGTGGATGTATCATCTGTGAGCCTAGAATTGAATCAAATTTGTTATCATTTTTTAGGAAGTTGAGGAATGAAGAAATCAAACACACATGCTATGGTTCTAACTTTAGAGTCATTTGAATTAGTTTTCAATGCAACTAGAAAACTCAGCGCGACTTTGCCGCGCCTCTTTGGAGTTCGCCGGTGTAGTTTTTTTATACCATTAGTAGTGCAAAAGGTTGAGCTACGAGATCACCCACATTAGTAATATATAAGGATTTTGAAGTTGAGCTAAGTTGTCGTGGAGTCATGATTAATATTTACAGCAGTAGCACTATCAGGAGTTCAAATATTTCCTCAAAATATCACTCTGTGCCTTGCTTGATCCAAGTGTGTTATACTACCTAAATTTGCATGCACATAAGCACTTGAACGGGACTGAAGCACCAAATAAGTGACATAGGTCATACATTATACGACTGATTTCAGATACAAAATTAAAATAGAAACAAGGTATTGTTGAAAGAATCAATGTTTATAAAATCTAGTATTAGTTTGCTGGTAAAAAAACAATGCAACAGTAGCGTTTCCTATCTTTAATTAGAATGTGAGGCACTGAAAGCCCATGCTAAGCACGTCGAATGGCCTTACAAGATTCACAAGATTCCCAATGCACTTTAACATTGTACTAGCAGCCCCAAAAGATGATGTATTATTCCTGTGAGACAAATAATGTCGTGTTTGTACAGTAATTAACATACTTCACTTGCAATTAGCAGAGCAAGTATTTTCAGACTAAGAAAGCAGTAGGAAAGGCAGTACATCAAAACTGAAATTACACATGAGAGAACGGCGAGGATGTCATGTTTTGTGTAATGGTCTGAATTCTGAACTATCTAAGGATTTTGAGTTATAGCATGTTCATACGATAGTGCTGCCTCATAGTTTTGGATGAACAGGCTCCGCACTGAGAAGTATGTCCTGTCCTCTCCCAAGTCCGAGATACTGGTTTTGGTCGTGCATGCTGTTCTGATTGTTCCCCTTCGCTGTTCGGAGCCTATAAAAAATGGACGTCAATTGTCAATGCACTGCAGGCAATTCATAGATGTGAAGAACTGATTTCTATGACATCCAACAAACAGAGTTCCATACTCAATTGCCCGATCATCCAAGTCTCTGACATTCAAGTTTGAACAATAGGGTACTAAGAATTTGAATGGTATAAGAAAGTACTCCAGTAACCAACATTGCTTTTTTAACACCTGATGACATGTAAAGCATCAAGGGCATTAGTACTGTATTAATAGCTGTAAGTTTCATGAAAAAAGGAAAATTCTTTTAGAACTCTTACCTTGTAAACATTACCAAATCCTCCCTTCCCAAGCATATTAGAGTCAGAGAAATTGTCTGTTGCAGCAATAATGTCATTAAAATTAATCTGTGGGAATTCTATATTTTTCTCCCCAGGTTCATCTGTAGACTCCCAAGTATTCTATCATCATTCTCTTCTGAGCTTCCTTCTTTTGTCGTTTGCCTCCTAGTAGAAAAATCAAAGGGTTCTTGCTATCAACACTTAAAGCACAATGTAGGATGCAGGAGAACAGGGCTCTTGTCATTTTTACCTCTGTATTTGTGTGCCCAGAAAACGGCTATGAATGCAAGTAGCACCAGGCTTGGTATGGTCAAGAAAAATTTGTGGTCAGTTTCAGAATATTTATAGTATTAAAAATTAGTTAAGAAATCTGACTTGAGTAATTAGGAAACTATCATGATTTCGTTTTAAAGCATCACATTCTGCTAATACATAGACAGAGAAATCTACACATTATTTAGGTAACCAAAGGCTTTTACAGTAGATAAAATATAATTCTTTCAAACAAGTAAAAACTGGACTATGGATTTGTATGCTGATGGCAACTCAAAATAAAAGCACATGACTTTGGACAATTGCAGTATTTTCATTTTTGACATTTGTTTGAAGCCCAATTAAAAGCTTGTTACCTAGCCGAATTACATCTCAGCTGCTAAGTTCAACTGACATAATAAATTTCATAGGCTTAAACCTTTGTGCATTGGAAATAGGCATATGGAACTATTAGTTTATTATATTTATTGTATCTATATTAGGAGTGATTTTAGGGTCAATGAAATTGAGGCGCTAAAAAGATAATAGAACAGTAGAAATTGAAAGGTTAGATACGAAGAGCTCTTGGCAAGAACAGCCTAGAGGAAGTCGATTAATCATGGATATTTTGCCAGTTCAGCACCAAAATATAGGAATGAAATTTATCTATTGATTTGTTTCCATGCTAACATTTCCATTAAATAGCACAAGCTTGTAGATCAATTGTGAGTTATAGCTGTATGCCATGGTCTACAGGTGGGAAACATAGGCTCAGACTGCACCTGTATGTTGTACAGGGTAAAATTAAAAATGAAGGGCAAATTCTTTTACCATGTAAAGATTAAATAGTATTTGGCAATGTCGAATCTCCTGGGATCCGGGAGAAGTTCATAATATCTCTCATAATAGCAATGTTATGGAACTCTTTACACAATTGAATGATTGATAAAACTCCTTTCATAATTTGTTGTTTAGAAACAAATTGGATATAAGTTATTAGCATGTATTAGAATATATGAACTAAAATATATAGCGTGCATATTACCGTTGAAATTAGTTTTACACCCCTTGCACAAAGGACCACGGAAGTAAGCGGCTACTAACTTACAATTTCAGGTAGCATAAACAAAATTGAGTTGCCCAGTGCTAGTATCATGATTGTAGAGACACAATCACAGAAATAAGAAATCAGAGCATGTAAAGGCAAACCATCGCGTGTGCAAGTAAGAATTTCTTCCGGACATAGTTCTAGGTCCGTTTGAAAGTCAAGATTAAGCGGTGGGGGGGAATGGAGAGAGTTGGAAATACCATGTTCTGGACAGGAATTTCATCGAACACCGTGGTGGAGTCTGTCAAGGGCGAGATGAGCAGAGGAGGTAGCCTGCTTTTCTCGTTGAGCCGGCTGGAGCGGTGCTGCCAAGGACAGGATAGATAGTCATGTGCGATGGCCGATGGAGATGCCGCCAGAGACCTCGAGCAGCTCCTCGCCCGCTCCATATCGCGCCGCGCCCAGCGCGTCAACGCACCTCTGGGCTGCAGCCCCTCCTCCCGGGCGAGCGCCGAGGGCACGGACAACGCGTTGTGCGCGTGTGCGGCGAAGAGCCAGATCGCGAGGACTGGGCAGCAGCGGTCGCGGTCGAGCGAGCCCGGGGCCCCGCCGGTGCCGCACGTCGCGACCACGCCACCGACCAGCTCGGCCGAGAGGTCGAGGTGCTCTCGGCCACCGGCACCGGTTTAGACCGGCTCCACGGCGCGTGCGCGGCCGGACCCGGGAGCACGCGACTCCAGTGACCCAAGCTCGGTGGGCCCTCGGCAGGCGGCCATGGCGCAGGCGGCGCATGCGCGGCCGTCCCCCAAGCGCACGCGACTCCGGCGGCGCAAGCTCGATGGGTCCCCGACGGGGCTGGCCAGCACGGGCAGCGGTGGTGCGTGCGGTGGGCGCGGCCACGGCGGCGCCTGCTGGGCCGGCGACCCCGGCGCCGGGTGGGCGGGGGGTGCACGGCGCGGTGGTCCCAGACACGCTGGCGCTTACGGGGGGCGCGCCCGGGGCCGCCCGCGCCCACGGTGGCCAGGCGGCGAGCCGGGTCCAGGCACGCGGGGACCCGTGCCCGCGCGCTCACCTCGCCCGCGCCGCGCCGCGTGTTGCCGTGCCGGGGGGGCGCCCACGGCCGGGGTCGACGGCCGCGCACAGCGTGAGGAGGCCGCGGCGGTCGGGGCCGGGCGGTGCGGCGCCATGTCGTGAGAGTGGGAGAGAGAGGGAGGAAGGGAGGACGCCACCTGACCTTGGGCGGACAGAACGCCGAGCGGAGAAAAGTGCGGCGCGAGGGAGGGGCGGAGCAGACGCTGGAGGCAGGGGGAGGCGCGAGGGAGAAAGGAAGGGAGAAGCGGAGGGCGGCGGGTCTGCCCCGCGGCCCGCGCTCGCCTGCGGGACTGCAGGTTGATTTCGAAATAATCTGAGGTTTTTTTTTGAAAAATATACTGAGAGGGCCTCTGGAGCGCGGGTTGATTTCCGGAAAATATAAGGGGTTTTTCGAAAATTTACCGCCACTCACCCGATCTGGACCGTCTGCGCGCCCGATCGAACGGCCGCAAAAAGACAGTGACGTGGCACGCTGGCTGGCCGCGGTTTGGACGCAGGATTCATATAGAAAGATGAGAAAGCGCAAAGCAAAAGCCTAGAACTAGAACTACTAATATAGTCTCTTATTTATGTAAGGCCTTATCTTATCTATGTATGATCTATTTGTGTAAGTTTTGAACCTATTTATGTAAGTTTCGAACTTTTTAAATGTATTATAGTAATTTGGTTAATTTATAGCTATTTTACTAAAATTTTTCTTTGGATTTTATCATATTGCACATGATTTTTTTTTTTTTTTGACTAGGACTACCTGATTCAAAATCCTAGTCCCGCCACCATAGATATGGAACTGGCATTCGATGATGAGGAGCTGGAGGACGATGACAGCGAAGACGAGAACTATGAGGTGGCAGGGGTGGAGCTACGTGGACCACGGTGGGTGAGGCCGCACCCACCCAACGATGAGGACGGGGACAAAGACGACGGCGAGGACGACGAAGAAGAAGTTGACGACGACGAAGAAGATGACGAATCTGATGACCATTGATTCGGCTTCGGTCAATCGGGTGATCAGCGCATATATTATGAAATACTATATGGATGCTCTAAATTAAGCTATCTAGGTTGAATCCTTCGTATGGATACGGATGTCTAAGCAAACTATCATAGTAGTTTAGAGTACTTGAATTTTGTATGAGGAAAAACATGCTGCCGGCCGGGCAATTGGGCTCTGATCTAGTGTTTGCATGCAGTGCCCAATCTTTGTGCATCTTTTGGCTTCCAAGTTCCATTGCTTCGCTGGGCAGCTGTTGTGACTCCATCCCATGACAAAGCTAGAGCAAATTAGAGTAGGATGTACTTGTCTTGTAAGTGCATAAATATGTCTTATAAGGAGTGCATATATGGTGGAATTTTAATTAAATCTACTGATTTAGGTTTTTTGGTGTACCCATATATATAGTGTAGCTTCGCCTCCCTAACTCCCATAGATATAGGTGAGCCTCGCTTGTGGCAGGCGAGGCTAGGCAAAGTTAACAAGCTTTTCGCTTGCTATGATGGGAGCAAGAGCGATTTTAGCTCGCTCGAGCTAGTGAGGTGAGCCACATTTGTGCAAGTGAGGCTTGACAAAACTGACCTGGCATGCGAACGCGCCCTTAATCAACACATAACTGTTAAGAACCAGTTAGATTGGAGTGGTTTCATCCATGGATCAAGAGTGCACGTAGCTCATGCATTTTTTTTTTTATTCTGGTTCTCTTTACATTGAACATGTTATCAACAATATTGCTCTCTCTAAGTTTCTCAACAACCGAAGCAAGAGTGACTCGGAATCAAGAAGTTCTACACTGAGTTCGAGAGCAACTCTCTAATTTGCCGATAACAGATGAGAAGAACAAGAACAAACTGGGAACATATAGGAGGAAGAAAAAGGAACAAACTGGGAACACTGAGTCTCGAGCACCATGGACATCGTATATACCTACTTCGGCACCATCGTCAAGGCTGGTCACCATCGAAATTGATATACTCCACCATGGCCCTGACCACCACTTGTCCCTTCAACCTCGATCGCCTCCGTGAGGCACCGAGTCGCCCACCATGAGGTGGTCGTCGTGTGGCAAACATCTCCACCCTCTTCCCCGCGGTAGACATGCTTGTGACCCATCGAGCATGGTAGTCCACTCCTCTTCTTCTTGCTCTCTCTCTCTGACCTCGCTTGGTAGCTCGTCGTTGCCTTGCGCCCCCCTCCCGCACGCTCTATATTTGGATCTCATGGTAAAGTTTAGTTAGCTTTAGAGCATTTTAGGACATCTGTGCGATCTAGTGAACTAAAGGATTTTTTTGTGAAAGTTGGCTGATAAAATTTAAATAGAACTTTAAACAAATTGTTTGGAGCCCCAAGAGCTAATCTTTAGACAATGAGATCCAAACATCGGACCTTCATCCTACGTCGTTCCACCAATTTCTAGGCAGCGGTTTGATCACGCCTTTAAAAGGAACCTTCTCTAGTTGGATCGTCTTATCCTCGTGTGCAAACCAAACACCGGCACAAAATGAACCAATCGCCCTTTACAATTCCATCAAAACGTGGTGATCATTATTCGCAAAAAGAAAAAAAAAAAAAAAAAAAAAAAAGTGGTGATCGTTACAAATGGATATGGGCTGGGCTTTGTTTCTTCAATGGATGGGGTATGGGTCGGTATCCTTCTTGTACTCATCTAGGCCCACCCCTGTCGACGGCTCGGTTTTTCCCCCCCTCGGTGCAAGATTTTACAAATCACAATGCTGCTTTCTTCCTCACACTGTCGCAGTCGCGCAGCCGCCGCGATCGGCTAGCCCCAAAACGCTAGCTCCATGGGAGCCGCCGCTTCTTCTTCTCCCCCGCCTTCTCTAGAGACAGCCGCCGCCGCCTCCGGTCCTGATCCTCCTCCCCCGGAGGCCGCAGCTACACCAGCCAAAGAAGATCACCAGCACTCGGCCGCCGCCGCGGACGATGCGGCGGCGGCTCCTGCTGGTGGAGGCATCGCGAAAGATGCCGCGGAGACGGTGGTCATCGATGCCTCCGCGGAGGCCGGCGGAGCAGGGGAGGGGGAGGAGGAGGAGCAAGGGGAGTGCGGGTTCTGCCTCTTCATGAAGGGCGGCGGCTGCAAGGACGAGTTCGTCGCGTGGGAGAAGTGCGTGGAGGAGGCGGAGGCTGCCTGTTCCAGCGTCGACGTCGTGGAACGGTGCCAAGACGTCACGGCCGCACTGCGGAAGTGCATGGACGCGCACGCTGGCTACTACGAGCCTATCCTCCGGGCCGAGCGCGCCATGGCTGCGGACCTCGAGGCCTTTCAGGCTGAAGAAGCTGCCTCCGCCTCCACAGCGTCGGCGTCCGAGGAAGGCCAGAAGGAGGCAGCGGTGCCGCCGTCAGACGAAGGCCAGAATAAGCAGGTGTCTGAGGCGGCAGTTTCGGGGAGAGCAGAGATCCTGCAGCCTGATTGGGCGAAGACGAAGAGGCAGCGGCATCTTCATTTTTTGAGGGATTTGAGGATATGAATTCCTTTTCTTCTTTCGAGCATCAATTAACATGTTGTGACAGGAGAGATTGGTGACTAGTGAGGGAGATAGATTTCTGTCCCTCTTCTGTCTACATGAACATGTGATTCTTTTGATTGAAATCAAATTATACACATGTTGCCAGATGACTTTGAACTCTGGCTAATCATACAGACATCTCATTCTTCAACAGTCTGATGAATTGATGACCCTAAATTACTAACTGCTCGCTATGCATCGATGCTGAAACGAAAGCTTCTGCTTAGATAATGATGGCCAGTGGCTGAGGCCAGCGATGAGTGATAATTGCCAATGCTAGCTCGCTACATCCAATTGTTATACGTTCCCTTCATCTTGTCTGTTCATCATGATGGCAAAACTTTACCTGTTTTGTGAGCATGATGGCAAATACTGTTTGAATTAGCTGTGTTTCTGTACATTCCGTTCATCTTGTCTGTCATCGTGATGGCAAAACTTCACCTGTTTTGTGAGCATGAGGGCAAATACTGTTTGGATCAGCTGTGTTTCTGAAACTTTCAATTGTAATTGTCTAACGTTCTTGGTGTTGTTCTGGCATTTTTTTTTAATATTTCAGCTGTTTTCCTTTGGCAACTTCACCTGTTCTATGATCAGATTTGAGCACGAGGGCAAAGCTTGTTTGGATTAGCTGTGTTGTTGAAACTTTCAATTGCAACTGTCTACAACGATCAGGTTGTTGCCATGTTTTAATCGAATGCTTTGCATTCTATTTTTATATTTTCTTGGATTTGGAATGCGACATTCATGTACTCGTACTGCATTGGTTAAACCCTGTGTTGGCCTCCTTTGTGAGGCCAACTGCGTAGCAGAGAAGGGGATGCCAACCATGGTTTCAGCTGGCGCCACTTTCCCAAGGCGAGCTGGGTACGCCTGGACGTCTAGGCGAAGGCGACACCTTCCTTTGAAACAGGGATGCCAACTGCCTAGCAGAGAAGGCATTGGTGGTTCTAGCACGTCAATGCAAAACAATTAGAAAATTGGTACCCAAAAAAGAGCATCTATTCATCTGATGGAACTTTATGTACGATTTTTTTTCTAAATATCTAGCATTGCAACTGCAATAGCTACATGGTATATTGGTATTACTTCAAATCAATGCTAGCTATACAGATTGACCAAAATGATTTGCTTATGAGGGGAGAATATTGAAATCGGTCATTAGATCTTTAGAGATATAGCCTTTTCTTAAAAAAAAAAGAATGAAAAGCTCAGCATGGCAACGCAGACATAAGCTTGACTAACAAGGTAGGGACTGAGGGACGGTAGTGCAATTTTGCATCTACAAATTGAGAACTACGAGTTACTGTCAGGCAAATTACTAAATGAATTGCTACGGTTGCAAATAAATCAAGAAAACTGGAGTACTACAGTCAAATATTGGTCCCACTTAACACCTACTCCTTTTGTCCCTAAATATCTTTCGTTTTCGCTTCCCGAGAAACAACTTTGACTAAATATATATTAAAAATATTAATATTTATGTTAAATAATTAGTATCATTGGAAAGATCTTTTAATCTAGTTTTTTAATAAATTTATTTGGAGATACAATTGTTGCACGTATTTTATACAAATCGAGTCAAACTTGCGGCACGCACACCAACGGTGACAATTATTTAGGGACGGAGGGAGTAGGGGCTAGACGAGTTTCATGTTTGAAAGCTCTAGTTTGGTTTTGGTGAATTGATGAAACTCTAAGTGCTAACTTAGTTTATCAAAGTGATCATGAGATAGGTGGCACATTCCAAGTGGTGAAGCAAATGAAGATCATGACATGATGATAGTGATGCCATGGTGATGATCAAGTGCTTGGACTTGAAAAGAAGAAAAGAAAAACAAAAGGCTCAAGGCAAAGGTATAAGCGGTAGGAGTCATTTCGTTTCGGTGATCAAGACACTTAGCAAGTGTGATCACATTTAGGTTCGATAGCCGTATTATTAAGAGGGGTGAAACTCGTATCGAAATACGGTTATTAAAGTGTCACTAGATGCTCTAACTCAATGCATATGCTTTTAAAATCTAGTGGAGTGCTAACACCTTGAAAATGTTTGTGAAAATATACTAACACACATGCACAAAGGTGATACACATTGTGTTTATCGCTTGGGAGCAAGGGTTCGAAACTTCATCGGTATACTGTCATGAGAAAAAGCGGGGGGTTTCACAGAGTGCACGGGACGGCGCTGGCCTCAAGCCTGGACCGGACGCGCGTCCGATCGATGGAAGCGATGAAAGACGCTGGCGTCGGTCTTGATCGATTTGGGTCACCCGTGTGACCGGACGCGGAGTGGGTGCGTCCGGTCCCGCTGACGTGGCGGCGCAGAGAAGAGGAGAAGGACCGGACGCTGTTGTTGCGTCCGATCGTGACCGACCGGATGCGTCCGTTCGCAGTTGAGCAGTTCTGGGAGCTCTTTGGACTCGACCAGACGCTGCCCCTCTTACGTCCGGTCGTGATCGAACTGACGCGTCCGGTCGCGGCTGGAACCTTACTAGAAGTAACCGAACGCTGGAGTCCTGTGCCCGGTCTTGCACTGTAGTGCGTCCGGTCACAACTTAAATGTACTGATGACCGTTGAGATCGGGCGATTAGCATTTAAAGCAGGGGACACGTGGCGTGCATCGCGCGACCGGACGCAAGGGTCCTGCGTCTGGTCGATCTGACCGGTGCGTTCGGTCGCCCCGATTTTCAATGGACTGAGGAGCCAACGACTCTATTTGGTGGGGGCTTCTATTTAAGCCCCATGACCGGCTCAAGCTCACTCTCTTGGCCATTTGCATTGACATAGCAACCTTGTGAGCTTAGCCAAAGCCCTCCCACTCATCTCCATCATTGATTCATCATCTTTGTGAAATTGGAAGAGAATCCAAGTGCATTGCTTGTGATTGTCTCCGGCTCCGATCGTGGTGATTGTGAGGGGTTCTTGATATTTCCTCGGCGGAGAGTCAAAAGGTATTCTAGTAAATTGCTTGTGGCTTGTGTGATCCCCATCTTGTGTTGGTTGTGCGGCACCCTATTAAGGGTTTAGCGTGTGATGCCAATTAGCGCGTGAACCTCCAAGTGAGTGAATCGCCACAACGAGGACTAGCTTGCCGGCAAGTAAGTGAATCTCGGTAAAAAATCATTATGTCAACATTTGATTTCGATGTGATTAGTCTTCATTGATAATCAGCCTGTTCGCTGGTTGGTTTCTGGGCTGATAAGCCCGGCTGATGCTGGTTTGTTGTGAGAAAAAACATTGTATCATGGCTGATAAGCCCTTGCAGAAACCAACAAGCGAATAGACTGATTGATTCTTGTGATTGATTGGTTCATTCTTCGACTCGGCGGTATAATCATCTTGCTCTCTCTCTTTACATTACCGTAAACTAGTTGTCAAGCTCTTTAGTGTAGCTAGTTGTGAGAGCTTGTTAGTTTGGTTAGTGTAACTCTTTAGTTAGTCTTTGAGAGCACATTAACTTAGTGTAGTGGTATAATCATTATGTGGATAGAGACTATAGAAACTAAAATTGTGATAGGTAGCTTACAATTTTAGTAGGCTAGCGCAACACTTGCTTCGCCTCATAATTGTCTAACCGGTTTGCTAAATGTTGTTATAGAAATTTTGAATAGACTATTCACCCCATCTAGCTATTAGGGCCTTTTAATGTTGGCTGACCAACCATGGGTAATCTGACTCAAACCCCTAACTTGGCCACCATCACTACAAATTTGCAAGCCATGCATCAGCTACAACATTTACGACAACGCAAAGATAAGCGACCCCGAACTTACAAATACAAACTCTGACACATCTCCAAGAACTATATTAAATCTGAAGTTTGACAATTCATATAATTCAGACATGTACCGACCAAAACAGCACAGGATTCATATTGCCACACTGGTGGAGAGTTGCAGTACTTTGGATACTGTGACATTTGAAAATATTGTATGTTTCAAAAAAACATTTGAAAATATTGCAAAAGGAAAAACTAAACTTTCTGTGTATTGAAAATATTGCGAAAGGAAAAAAAAACTAAACTTTCTGTGTCCCAGTAGCAACTTAGCCGAAGATTTTGAATTGACCCAAATATTCAGAACGAACACCTTGTCACCAGAGCACAGACAGATGCTACCTAAAATACAAGCCATGCGTCAACTGCAAGAACTGAATGTTGGTCCAAAACTTACATATTCAGACTACAATAACACAGCACCTTCACCATCACAAAGTTTCAGACCTCCAAGCAAGCTTCAAATAGACCCCGACCCAGACACATCTCCAAGAACTGGAGAGACCGTGAAGTCTGACTCCTCGATTATTCAGACACTGTGACAACGGAGAGTCCATACTGAGACAATGATAGCGAGAAGTACCAAGCAGCAGTGGTTTGGGTACACTATGTTACAGCAAAGGCATATGGGTGAGCCACATCATCACACAACACCCCTGTAACCCAAGCACTGTGGAATTTCAGGGACAGGGAGTGGGTAGGTAGGTAGATGATGTGGAGGTTGCACCCCAATGCAGAACAGCCAAGAATGATTTGCCTACAGACAACCAGCCATCGGGGAGAAGACCGTTCGTCTGAGTAGCCATCCCCTCCTCCTCGGTTCATGCCTTGAGGAGCTCGCAGCAGCCGTCGCTGGCTGCCCACTTGAACGAAGAGATGTGGGCGGCGCTGCCATGGTCGCCGTCCATGATGGGTGGCAGCGCGGTGAAGAAGGGCGGCGCTCGAGGGGGCTGCTCCAAGCCGCCGTAGATGTTTGACACATCGGAGCCAGACAAACTGGACACGCTACTCTGGGAGTGGCAGCGCGGGTTGCTAATGTTGCTGAGCCCTGGTGGCCGTGGAGGCTCGGAGCTAGGGGGCATAGCGAGGCGTGATGGTGTCGCTGCTGCCATCTTGCTGCCCCCATTCGCAGCAACGTCCGTGCCATGCCCTCCTTCTTTCTTCGTGTTGAGGAAGCGCCCGCCGGAG